CACCCCCCTTCCCGCCCCACATCCTCCACAGAGAACCCCTCTTTGACCAGATGATCGCCAACGTCTACCAGCCCGGCGAAGGCATCTGCGCCCACGTCGACCTCCTCCGCTTCGACGACGGCATCGCCATCCTCTCCCTCGAGTCCGACTGCGTCATGCACTTCACCAACGCCTCCCTCTCCGTTCCCGTTCTCCTCACCCCTGGCTCATTGATCCTCATGTCCGGAGAAGCACGCTACCATTGGAAACACGAAATTAATCGCTCACCGGAGTTTCAGATATGGCAGGGTCGACAGTTGACTCAATCCAAACGCACCTCTATCACTCTCAGGAAACTCTCTCCCTCCACTCCCTGATTGTTCCAATTTCACGGATATTATTATTCGCCATTCAAAAACAATTTCAATTATAATAATATAACAGTACTAATAGTAATGCTATTTTATCTATATATCTTGCTATTCGGTGTTGTTTGATTTGGTGCCGAAGGCGATGAAATTTACGCTGATATCGTCTGATAAAGACCACCGTCCTGTCACCGGGTTGTACACAAATCCGGCCATCTCCTCCACCTGTATGTCCAATGCAACAAATGAAGTAGGCGATGACTAAAACCTGGCAAATGAAATTGTTTATGAATTATGAGTTCCTTTCGTGTACGTACATTGATACCGGCGCGTTGCAGGATGAGGACGAGTTCCTCTGGCGTCAGAAAACTGGACCATTGATGAGTGCCTCTCGGAAGCTGCCGAGTTTCGAACGCGAAGTTAGTGTGTCAATTGAATTGAAGCATCAAAGAGTTTTGTATGAGAGAATAAGCGTGTGGAAGGAAGTTGAGAATGATAAATACCCAGCGGAGAATGTATTCTGCAGCAACAATGGCAGTTGCGTAGGCTCGCATAGAACGATTAATGGTCGATATCACAGTGGCGCCGTCAGGAACTGTTAGTGCTGCAAGAGATTTGCAGAACTCTGCAGGATTTGCCACGTGCTCAATCACCTGAACAAAATTCGAACCAAATGAACCAACGCCGCCTGAGTAATACTATCAAAGATAGATTTATACAACTTAGGTATACACGCATCGTTTTTTTTATAGCTCCATATCACTTTATGCACTGCAATATTCGAAGCATCCAGAGAGGAAGGGGGAAAGGAAATGAGAGGAGTACCTCCAAGGCCATAACGGCATCGAATTTTCTTCCTTCTTCAACTAGTTTCTCTGATCGATAAATTTAAAAATTGTTGGTGATTTGTAAAATACAGTGCATAATTCACAAAAAGAAAAACCATAAGGACAATTATAGAATGCAACCTACACTTGCAAAATGCATGCCCTGACGTACACATACCATTTAAGTTTTTACTAGCATGATACCTAATTGCAAGCAAAGAAATTGAATGGACACCGCCACTGAGACCTATAATTCTTGTGATGTAGAGAGGCATGAAGGGAATAAGTACGTGTAACGACTCTTTTAGTTGAAAACCTGTACTCCCACTTGAGGGTTTAGCTACGTCCAAGTTGACACCTTGTTTTCATTGAAACGTCAAACGGATGGATATAAAACTTTCTTCAATAAAAGATACTAGTGGGAAGCGAACGAAACGCGAAACCAAAGGGAATAAAAATGACTTTTCTAAAGCCAAAGATGGCACTATAAGTTAAATAAATAAGCGTTACTTTCTGCAAGCTGCAAGAATGAACAACCAATGAAGAAACCCAATAAAAACAAAGCCAGTAGGAGTACCCAAAACCCCATGCAATATTTAAGCTTATTTCTCTGCATCAAGATCCAACAAAGGTCTGCAATCCATGATGTAAAAGACTTGAAGCATGCCTTCATGGATGTAAGACTAATATACAAGATCTCGAGGTTTGGCATGTCATACTGCCGTTTTGTCAACAAATTCACATAGTTGAAGTTACTGATCCCAAACCCTGATTACGAAAATAATAAGTTGTCTAGCTAATAGTGAAGAATCTGAAGATGTAAAGTTAGCAACTGCTTCCACCGATGAACAATAACCTAATCAACTGGTGGTGGAAAGGCCAGTACAGAATATACATACAGCATGAAGTTGAAGCAATCTTGTATATTTTCTCAACAGCATCAACCACCCGTCACATTAGCTCCCAATCGAGCTAGTGGCTGACGAACAAAAGAGAAACAAAGCTATAAATCATAAAATAACCATAACAAACAGCATAAAATTTGCAATGAAAAACAACTGACAATCTTAAAAAATATATATAGTCATCTCTGAAGTCTGAACTGATTAAACCAATATTGGTTTATCATAGGCCAGGAGACCAAAAAAGGAAAAGGTCTTTTTCCAAACATCACAAGAAATAAGAGAATAGATATACCTCAAAGAAAGAATTCCACCTCCACATCCAACATCAACAATTTTAAGTCCTTCAAGAGGTTTAGCACTATAAGGGTCCTTCCTGACAAGGGAAAACTATCATCATTAGAATAGAAGTCCGAAGAGACAAAATTAGAATACTAACCTATTAAGTAATAACTTTTTTCTTTCGTTTATCTTGTTGTTTCCTCTTTGCGCTAATGTGTAAAAAACCATTCAGCTTAACTTTTTACTAACAATACCTCATTTCAGTCATCTTTCTTACACGTCCCTCTGAGATGCTATATTTTATTCGGAAACTAAACCAAATCCTACTATGTATGTGTGGCCAAATGGCTTAGTTGCTACTATTGGATTAATAAGTTATAACAGCTACAAGAATGGCACTGTATAAGAATATTCATGAAGGTTAATAGATTACAAAAGTTGTGTGCGAATCAATTAAAACATTGTACAGATCGTTAACTAAAGTAGCTTCAACAATTTAAACACCCCAAACCCAAAAAATGGACCTAAAAAGAACTAAAAGAAAGAGGAGACTTACTTAAAATGACGACTAATGCAGAACGGATAAAAGCAAGTCTCGTAGGATTCATCAAATGCAATGGCTTAAAGGGACCTTCAGAATCCCACCTATAAGCATCAAGGAAAGGGCAAAACATGTCATCCATATTCCCAAACTAACACACATACACAGAAAAATCATGCACGCCGGTAGCCCAGCAACGTCAATATATATTAAACAAATTCACCCCTTGAAAAAAAAAATTGCATACAATTCAGTTTCGTGTGTGTCGTAGCCATAAATTCATTGAACAAATTCTCTCTTTCTGTTTGAAAGCTCACCAGGAATCAGCACAATTGCCAGCGAACTTGGAGTCATAATCTTCAAGGACTAAGGAGCGAGAGATTGCTGATTAGGTTGCGGTGAGGCATTTGAAGACAGAATACGGAGAAAAAACCTAGCAAGCATTGAGGAGAGAGTTGAAAACGTGTGGATGCGAGAATGCGTGGAGAGAGCCTGCGAGTCGAGTTTCGGAGATGGTTAAGCAGCCATGGCATTGCAATGGTCCCGTGCTCAAAATCCTTCCTCTCTTTCCTTGAACCCTTCAGCTGGATAGATCCGCGGCTGTGGATTGTCGGGGCTCCTGTTTGACCCGATTGTGAAAAGAACGGTGGTTACTGTTTTATTAATTTTTAAATTAGTTGACTTAATTAAATTTTTAGTCTCTGTGATATAATGCTGTTTTTGTAGTTTATTTTAGTTTTTTACTTAGTTTACGAAAGTTTAATTTTTTGTTTAAACTTATGATAATATTTATGTACTTCAAATATTTAAAAACAAGCTTCACATTTTGTTATAACTAAAAATTATAATTATTATCATTTGCTGTTTTTTTTAAAATTTTATGAAAAATGGCTTCGTTCCTTACTGGTTATATATTTCGTCAGAAACAGAAAATGTTAAATATGCAATTAGCCAATATCACCGAGAGATATTTGTGACCAATAAATATAGTAGAGATAGAAAAGCTTAAGCTTATTAAAAATTTAAAAAAGATTAGATAATATAATAAGTTAAAGAAAAGTAAAGAAGCGGATTTTTTTTTATTTTAAAAGAAGACAAAAAAAGGAAGTGGGAAAGTAAAGTGTAAGGGAGGCAGCGTACAATGAGAGTTTGAAGAATATAGTTAATTTTCAGAAGGTCATATAATATCGATATTAATTTTAAAACAACTTTTTAAGTCAATAAAATCGCTTCTACGCTCCAAACTTCCAATAACTTTTTATTATATTTTTGCTTAAAAATTGTAAATGTGTTAATGCACCACTTAGTTTCAAGAGTAGTAGCCAAACATTTACTCAGTTATATAGACCAAAACGTTTCCTAATAAATAAATCTCTTAAAAATACTTGTTGTATTACTAAAACTATACTTTTCTTTTTTTATGTTAGAATTTGGTTTTTTAAAATAACATATTTTTAATTTTTATTTATTCAAATAATATATTGTATCAAAAAATTAACTGAATAACAGGGTTCTATGTAATAATTTTAAATAATTTTTTGAATTTCGGAAAACTAAGTTTTGAACTTAGATGTAATTTTGACAAATTTTAAAATTCGATTTCTGGTAAACTAAAATTTGAACCGAGCTTTAATTTTTTTTAATTAAAATTGAAGTAACGAGAGTTTATGATTCAGTTTTAAAAACTTTGTACGTGTAAGATCCCAAATTTAGTATTATAAAACTTACTAAACTGAACATTACATGTATGATAACAAAACAAAAAAAATACCAAATTTGGTGAATAAAAATTTTCACCTGAAGAATAAAAATAACTACATATACTATAAGCTTCACTTTCCCCCTTCAGCTGCTCCAACTGAAAAGACTGCATCCCTTAGCTCACACCATTAAGGTGATCATCCCAAGAGAGAAACAACATACAAAGTCAAACCACAGAAAAACAAGGGTAAACTAGTGTAATTTAATATTCATGTGGAAGTACAATTCAACAAGCAACTAAGATACTCATACAACCGTTGACTGTTCGGTCCTGGACCTATACCATACAATGATCAACACCCATCTCTATTATTTCACTGCATTTTTCCCAACTTCTAATCCTCAAAACTTGGATCATACACATATATACACCCAACTAAGAGTATCTGAACTTTTTTTACAACATCATTGAGAGAGTTTCATCTCAGATTATAGGGTCAATCCTATAGAATCTTCAACTCAAGGACCTAAAATCAAATTTCTACTTTTGACACATTTTTAAGTGATTCAAATGTTCTAACAAGTTCTAAACAACATACCCAAATTCTCCTTACAGACCAAATTCAAACCTGATACCCATTCCCCTTTTTCACTACTACACTTCCTCACAGATCGCTCAGCACACTAACTAGAGTTCTGCAGAAATGAAATCAACAAGACCACAACATTCATCAGTCCACACAAACAATGCCGAACACAAAATCATTCAATTTCTCAGACATGTAAAACCACCAAACAACATTTTTATACATCATAAACCAATCAATTAAATTAACTAGCTTCTACACCTCCAGAAAATTTGTTTGAACCTCTAGAAAATTTGTTTGAACCTCAAGAAAATCCTAAGAGCACCTATGAACCACCAATTGGTGAAAGAAGACCAACCGTAGAACCAAAATGAAATCAGAAAAGGAAGAAGGAGAATGCGGAACACATGCAAACATGATTGTTCCTTGCATGCAACAAAACCAGAAATCACTAAAACTGGAGAACGAAACTTACCAATTCTAAACACGAAATCGATCAGTTGGATAGGAAGCTCTTGACGTCTGGATCGTCTAGGAAGCTTCTGATCGCTGATCAGATGAATCTCCAGTGAGAAAATCAAGAGAGAAGGGAGAAGAAGAGTATAAAATAGTGTTTTTAGAGAGATAGAAAATATTTAGATAATGAACCGAGTGTTTTAAATGTCTATTTATACAATTGGCTTATCTTAAACACAAATGTTTGGTCTCATTACTTTAATATATCTATCTACTCTTAACACGTTATTTTCTGAGTTCTTACCGTTTGGATAATAATTTCTTAAAAAAATATTTATTTAAAAATTAATTATATAGTATATAATATTTTTAAAATGTATTATTTGAAAAATAATTATTGACAAAGTATATATTTTAAGTAATAAAAAATATGTAAGCAAGAAAAATTATTAACAAAATTAATATTCATAAATTTTGAAGTAATTTGTTTTTTTATCATTCAATTTGTTGCATGCGACATTAATGATCTTGTAGTATAAATTAAGTGGATTGAGTTATAATTGAAGTATGTTATTTGGAATTGTACACTCTTACGTAAAAATAAAAATAATTATGCCCTAAATGTTTGATCCAATAAATTTTCAGAGAAAAAAAAACATAAAATATTAAATATTAATGAAAAATGTTTACATAATTTGAATAATTAATTTGTAAATAATAAATATAATAATTAAAATATTTATAAATGTAATACTCATTTTTGTATATAATTATTAAAATATAAACAACACTATTATCTACTTTTTCTAATGTA